CACACACCCCCCCCCCCCCCCCCCCCCCCCCCCCAAAAAAAAAAAAAAAACCAAACTGCACCTACTCACAGAAATTTGGCAGTGGGAAGAATTTATGTCCCGGACATCAGGCTTAGATGGAAAAGGGAGAAATTCACAAACTCTTGCACCAGACTTTTTTGTTCTAGGATAAATCCCTTAAGTAGTAAATTGTTTATGGAAACAGAGACAATGCGAGGCAGAGAAAGAAGGGCCCTGTGGCTACTAAACAAGGATGGGGAAACTGGGCAGGAAAAGACAGATCAGCACTAGCGCAATTGCTAGAGAACGCGCAGGAGAGTAGGCATTTGTGGTCCCTCCGTTTGATAACAGCAATGGGAAGAAGTAGTACAAGCCATGCTGCTAGGATCCCTTGTAGCTCAGGAGCTTCCACCTTGCAGTTTTGTGACTGAAGGACCAGTGTTTCTAGATCCATCTTAAAGGTGTGAAAACACTTTCATTTGTACTGACTGAACAAGAGGAGGGTAACCAAGAGAAGGCTCTTTCCCATCACTCCTGGGTGCCAGTGAGAGTGTGAAATTCTTAGGCATGCCTTTGGGCATATACACATCCCACTTGTTTAAGTTTGAAGTGCCAAGAAGTTACTATTAATATTGCCGCAGTGGGGAGAGAAGACATCCTCTACCAGCTTCCAGAAAACAAGATGATATGTCATTCTCAAAGACAAGTCTTAGCCCAACCTTACGGTGCTGGCAGCCAGAAAACTTGGACACAAATGCCTCAAGCTGAAATCATTAAAGGGGTGCAGAGGTATTTTTAAAGAAATGTAGAGGTACCTATGTCAAGAGATTTCCCCCAAGAACAGCTAAGGCTGGTACTGCCAGAAGAACAGCAGGACAACAGGATCTTGGACTCAAAACTGTGTACATATCCTCTGCCATGCATTTCTGCAGAAGCAGAGCCCATGGAGGGAGCTCTCATCCCTGGAGCGTCACCCACCACTGTAAAATCCTGTGGAAAATGCATCCAAGGACACTAGCTAGAGGCTGTAGCTGAGTCACCTGGAGACTTTCCTGTGTCCTTGGCCTGAAAAGCTCCAGAAGAGTAAGAGGGCTGAAATAGTCTTTTACATCCGCCTCACCTCAACACTTGCTGCTCTTGGCCCATTCTCCATCCCACTACACTTCCCCTTTACAGTGTAACCACTGCTCCAAGCTCTTATCTAAGCAGACATGACAGCAAGAGGGGAAGCAAGAACGAAAGCAAGACAGCTAAAAATAAAAGCCAGGTCATTTTCTAACTCCCTTGCCTAGCATCGAAGTCGGCAGTTCTCATTGCCTTATTCTTTAATTAAGGTTTATTTAAGAGAATTACTCTTCCCAAAGCATGACTCAGACTGTAGAGCAGGCTTCTGGCACCAAGTTATAGTTACACGGGAAAAATAATAGTTTCTCTAGCAAAAAGAAAAAAGTCTAAAGGTGCAATTGCTTTATTGCATGGAAAAAGTGTTTGTTGCCCTCTTAAAAGAAAGAAAATAAATAATCCTTTCTCATGCTGTAAGGAAGAGAAACAAAGCTCATGTTATTCCCTCAAATTTCATAGCTCTGCAAGCTCATGTTTTCACTTTGGGGTGTGCCCAAATAGAAAATAATCTGGCAAGAAGAGAAATATCAACAGTTGTGCAATTCCTCTTCTGTTAAAAGCAAAGCTTCCAACAGGTATGAACAACCTGTCAAACATCACAAGCGCTGAAAGCAAAAGCCTTCAAGGATTCTCTACAGGATGGGCCATGTTTGCTTGAATGCATGCTTTTAAATGTAAGCAAAGCAACCCACCCAGCCTCAAACACTTCAGGTCATGGAGAGAAACAACAACTCTTTGCCAAGGATCCTTTTTTTCTGCTGGGCTGCTCTGCACTGCCTAGTTGTACAGGGAATGCAAAGATGGGAGTATTAACAAGTAGTGTCCTGGGTGGCACACAACCCCTGCCTCACCCCTGTCCCCCCACCGCAGGGAATGCGTTTCATCTGCTGGGGTGTTGTTTTTTGGTTTGGGGTTTTTTTTGGTTGGTTGTTTTTTTAGGGTTCTTCCCCCTGCAAATTTCTTCAATTTTCAGCTATTCCAGTACCTCCTGGAATAGAGGTTCACACTATCTCAGTCTCCATCCTTCCCTCACCCCCAAAGAGGACCAGGGGAAGACACAAACTGGCCTTGTAGTAGAACACCACTGGCCACAGAGTAAAATTGCAAGGACCCAGCAGTCGTCATTATCTCAAAGCAATGCTTCTGAACAAGGAACGATTTGACTTCACTTTTACTTCTAGCTGCAAGTGCTTAACCCTTTCATCAGTTCCCTCCAGTCACTGGAAATAATCTAAACACACAAACATGCTAGCCAAACCAGAGAGACCAGCTGAAGACCAAACAGCCTGCAGTAACTGTAACAAAGAACTTTACATTTTGCAGTATCCCACCAAAGCTTTTCCTGGATAAGAAACAAGTGAATGGAGCTATAAGCTTTAGGGCAATCTCATGTTTTCTAGGAAAGAACACCATGTACTTTCTACCCCCTAAACCATTCAGCCCGTACCCAATCATTCGGTACCACCATATTTTACCAACACATAAGCTTAGAAGAAAGCCACCATGACATGGCCAGGTACAACTTAGGAACATTTTACCTCCAACTTGAAACAAGCTGGGAAGAAAACAGGATCAGGTCGTTTTGTACAGCACAGCCTTCTGACCTGTTATGAGAACCTTTTAGAATAAGGCAAAAATATAGATACTGGAAGCAGATAATTGCCATTTAACATGTACATAAAGTGTTTTGTCTCTCTTAAAAGAGAGCAGCCATCCTCCAAGTTCCTCCTAGGCAGAACATCCTTAAATTTCAAACGGACTGCAACCACTAACAGAGTTTTCAGACATATGAGCTCATCTACAGTTTCTGTACTGACAGAACTACATAGTTTCACTGAACAGTTTAAAAAAAATTGTTAGGCCAAGACAATCCAAGAATGGGCACAGGGATAGTGTTCAAACTTGGGGGTGGCTGGGAAACTAAGCTGTACAAATTGCGCCAACATAAACTCAACTGTCTCGCATATGCGTCTGACTTCTGTCTACGTAGCGGGGCTGTGGCGTACCTAGATGGGAGAAGAGTCTGGAGGTGGAGAAGGATTATGTTAAAAATAAAAGAACTACCCACATCCCCCTGTTATTCTGACCGCCTCACCGTCCCAGCTTTCAAAAGAATAAAATCTTGCAAGTGCAGGTAAACTGTGTCTGGGGGAAAAAAGAAAAAAAAATGAGGGGAAAAAAAAAAAATGAGGATTTAGAAAGGGCTTACCATTGCGTTCCTCAGGTCTAAGGCTCTTCTTTGCAACTTCTGCCAACGCCCCAATGCCAAGACCAACAGCTAGTCCTTTAAAATAAGAAGACCCAGGTCAGAATGAAAAGAACATTCCGAGCCACATACAGAGGCATTTTTTATAATTAACCTTAAGCTACACGGTCAGATGTACAGCGGCAAAACAGCTTGATTAGAACATCCTGGCTTTTGCAATGGAGTCATCTTCAAGTTTGACACAGAACAGTTTTCTCTTGTACTTCTTCAGCCCAGCATGCCAGCCAGGTATCATAGGCTAGGCCACTCTGGGATGTCCAGCTTTTATAAAGCATGTCAACAAGCTCTGTGCTCTGGCTGAGGTCCTGCTGTAGACTCAAATCGTGGAGTTTAGGAGAAGGGAAGAAAAAAAAAAAAAATCTCACAAACATGGTTCTCCAAGTACAATTTTCAGGAAAGAACAGAATCCCCCTCACCCCCCCCCCCATGCCACCACAGTCAGGGGAAGCAAAACCGTATTTAGATGAAGCCACTGCCAGTAGACTTTAAGGCTCTGTGACCCTGCTGTCTAAGAATTCGGGTTTATTTGTGCTCATTAGCTGCCTGACTTCCACATGCTCCTTGACTATGATGAACAGAAACACGTCATTCCTGAGGCCCACCTTATGCAAGCGGTGTTGTAGCCTGCAAGTCCAAGGAGCTGTGCTGGGGAGTAACCCCGCACAGCAACAGTAAGACCATGAGACCAAACACCAGCACTCCATGTGCACTATCACCCCTGCAAGCAGTGAATTCTAGGGCGTTGTCTCACAGACACAGATTAAGCTATGACTACAAAAGAAGCATTATCTACCTCCACTAACCTGATCAAAGCCACCGAAGATTAATGAGACACAGATCTAATCATGCTGTGTACCAGCAACGGTCTCACTGCCTTCCCAATTTCAAAATATTTATTTTTCTGGATAATAAATGATATGGGCAACCAGAACAGCTGGTGCTCCACATCTCCTCAGCAATGGTGTATCCTGCCATGCCTCACTCCCACGCTGCTAGCAGTACTGGGTGTGAGTGTTTTCCAAGCACTCCAAGCCCTCCTTCAGGCAGTACGGGACAGCTTCCCGGGTAAAACAACCAGGGGACACAATGAAGGAAGCGTAGCTGACCAGCACACGGCATTTTGTGCGTGGGTGCAGGAGGAAACGCATGCACACATTTTGTGGCCTCAAGTGAGGAAGCCTGGGCACAAACAAGTTGAACCTTGCCTTGCACAGTTAAGTTTTTACTCTCTCCCATCAGGTAATTACAACCCTACTTCTACCAATAAAATTTCAAACTTGCACAGTATATCTGCTTCAGAAACAGCCCCATCTTGCAATCTTGAAGACTGTGCACTTGGTCAAAGAATCCAGCACATGGTGAAGCACGGGGCACAGGAGGCATCGGTTACATTACAAGGCCTTCGTGAGGACTGCTTCCAGGGCCACTCCCATGCCATTGAACTGTCAGACAACCTTTCATTCTCCATTGCACATGAATGTTTAAGAGCATATGGCATAATACAGAAATCTACATTCAGAAGAAATATAACTTTCAAAGGATGCCATGATTTTAACATTATAATACTTAGATTAAAAAACCTTGAAATCATTTTTGAGGGTGGCGGGGGTTTTTGGGGGGGTGAGGTGGTATAAGTTTTCCATATTTTCTGCAAGTTTTCCTGTGGAGATGTGGCACTGAAATGCCAAATTCAAGCCTAAGGAAGTCTGCAGTTACTAGTAAACTTGTGCAGACCCTTCAATAGTGCCAGGCCACACATGACCACTGAGCAAGTCTTTCGCACCAGAAATCCAAGATTTTATTAGCTGAACAAAATGAGAAAAATATCCATAGACTCCACAGCAAAGAAGCAAAGAGGCTTTTCAAACAGAGCATAACATCTATTAAAATGCTGATACAGTCATCTCCAAACAGATCCCACAGGTGAGACAGTAACTTGGAACAGAAAGCACCGAGAGTCAGACAGGAAGCCAGTGAAGACATACCTCATCAACAAAATGTGGTTTTCTAGACAGAATACCACTCAGGGAGCACTTCTGTTGGCCTTGATCCCACTTTCACCACCTCCAAAGCAATGCTCCCCATCAGAAATCAGCTTGGTCATTATCAGAGCTGGGCTGAACTGGGCCGGCAGCAATTAGTTCCAAAAGAAATACGTTGCATCTCCTCCTTAAGGCTCTACATTCACTACTGAGACTTACTGCCTGTACCTAAAATAAAACATATCTGAATTTTCTAATCTCTCTTCCTCATTAAGACACAAACCACCTCAAAGGCAAACAAAAAGACTAGGAACCATATTCTACCCTGCCTTCCAGAATAAAGCTGGAGAAGTTCCAGCATGCTCCAAAGCTGTTCGTGTTTTATATCAGTGTAGGCAAGATCAGACACCAAAAAAGTACGTATTACACCTCCCCTCTCATGGACGTACACAGCTGAGCATCTGAACTAAACCATATTGTAGACTACGCCAGAAAAAGACCTTCTGTTACAACAGCTCCTCTTAGAATTTGCTTACTGCTCCGCTCTCTCCAATTTGCTAGAAAACAAACTCCAATCATCAGTCAACAACGGTTCCAAATAAACTGAAGCCAGGCATAACCAAGTTCACTGTTAAACAGCTGCTAAGGTTCCAAGATCTGAAGTTTAAACAAAGGCTTCAAGCATCTTCACACTATAATCAGAGTGCACAGCAGGACATTTAGCTCAGGACATTACGTGAAAACACAATGCAGCATTCTTCCTTCAAAACGTTCAGTAACTATCTGGAAGCATCTCTGGGCATACGCAGCCCTGCTCTAAATGTGGTAGCAGGAGGGCAGATAATACTCTTGGGACTGTGCAGGATCATATGCATCTTAGGCATCTGCTGCTTCTTAGTAATCAAGCCTGCAAAAATGAAATCAGCTGTATATGTAACCTTCTAGCACCAAAAACCAGGTGACAATTCAAAGTTTTATTTCTCATCAAAGCAATGCCAAAACTTGGCCCTTTCCCTGAAAGTCCAGGGCTTAGAGAAAGCTGCCACTTTCCACAGTCTCAGTTACTCACATTATTCCTTTATCCTTACTAAGTTATTATCAGAATAACCATGAAATTAGGGAATTAAATAACAGGCTAAATTCCTCATAGCTCTAACTCCTATCTACTAATACCAGTGCTAGGGATCACTCTGACCCTGAACTTCAGGAACGTATTACCTTCTCCTTTACCAACTTGAATTTCATTCACTGTGGCATTTGGAACACACACAGCTCACACAACAAAAACCAGCGTGGAAAACTTCACCTTTCCTCATCTTACAAACCAGACTAACGCTCTAAGGTTCAGAAAGCAAGTAGCAGACAGGAGGGGTCAGAGCCACACCACTCATTTCCTGAAATGCCACTCAGATTTGTTTTCCAGGGCTCTTCTGCACACCCATCCAGCTGAAAGGCTGTGGTCCAGGCACACGTTATTTGAACACAAATAATGCTGTGTACTGGGTGTGGCTGAGATAGGAGTTAATTTTCTTCACAGCAGCCTGTATCATGTTGTGTGTTGGATTTGTGACTGCACGTGTTGGTAACACGCCAATGTTTTAGCTGTTGCTGGACAGCGTTTGCACAGCATCAAGGCTTTTTCTTTTTCCCACTCTGACCCCGCAATGAGTAGGCTGGGGGTGGGCAAGAGGCTGGGAGGGGACACAGCCAGGACAGCTGATCCAAATCAATCAAAGGGATCTCCGTACTATATAACGTCATGCTCAGCAGTAAAAGCTTGGAGAAAGGAGGATGAAGGAGGGTACATTCGAGGTTATGGTGTTTGCCTTCCCAAGTAACTGCTACAGATGCCAAGGCCCTGCTTCGCAAGAAGTGGCTGGCCATCCGCCTGCCGATAGGGAGCAGTGAATGAATTCCCCTTGCTGCTTTGCTTGCACATGGAGCTTTGCTTCACCTATTAAGCCATCTTTATCTCAACTCCCAAGTTGTCTCGCTTTTGCTCTTCCTATTCCATCCTGCTGTGGGAGGAAACGAGCGAGCAGCTGCATGGGGCTTAGCTGCCAGCCAAGGTCAACCCACCACACACTGCCAGCCGGTCACCTGTTACCGGGATCAAGTCATCTCTCCAAAGAACCTGCACAGCTGTAGAAAAGCACTCCCTCCTCTGGGCCACTACTCTACTGACCTTGCACAAGTCACTCCTGATGTCCTTCATTTTCTTTGTCTGCAAGATGAGTACTTCCTCCAAGATTAATAAATTTTGGGACAATTTTCAGCATCACTGAACAGCCACAGTTCAGCACCTTGGAAAATAACATCCCCCAACACCTCTGCATTTTGCACTTCATGCAGACAGATTATTTCAGGCCTGGAAAATGCCACTTGGTTTTATACCAGCAGAGTGCCTCTTCAGACATTTTCCAGGCATCTCCAGCACCCATTACACTTCAAACCAAGCCCATCAAGAGATGATCTGGAACCAGTTCAGGAAGAATCCTCTTGCTCAGCAACTGACACAACAAAACAAACAGGAGACTGAATGGGCTGTTATCACTCTGCTCAGCCTGCCAAGCACAGGGGTGGGCAAGACTCTCCCCTGGAGCAGTCTGTGCCCTGGTTTTGGTCACGTCAAACACTGCAAGCACCACACAGAATGCATTGCAAGCTACAGACAGTTGTGCATGGATTTCCACTAGCTTTCTGAGCATTAAATGCTCCACGGAAGAAAGCCACACTCACTTGTCACTCGCATGACAATCTGAATCCTGTAGTTGTCAGTCCTGTATATATTCAAGAGGCTAGCCTTTTTTTTTTCTTTGCAAAATTGCTACAATCACATTAGATCTAGACTTCCCTGCAAGCTTCTTGAATTCTCTTTATTGCAAAAAGATCTTATTATATCATTAAAATAATAAACTCACAAACCAGGAATATGATTAAGGGAGACAGAAACTGCTTAGAAAAGTCAAATGATGCAAGAAACAGAGAATGGAAATAAAGAAGAGATCAAGAACTGCGTGGGTGGAACTGATGACCCATCAGGCTACAAAACAAGCATGGAACAAAAAACTGCAGAAAAATCTGTTTTACCAGTTCCAATCCGGGGAAGAAAAAATAAAATAAACAAATAAAAATCAATGATGATATTTAGTACTATAAAAACAGCTACCAGCAGTCACTCCAGCTGCTGCAAGAAGCATACAAAAATACATATAAAGGACAAAGAAGTTCAGCAGAGCATCTTGTGTGATTACAAAGAAACACTAGCTCAGTATTACACGCAAGCATCAGAGAAAATGATTTTCAATCTTTCCAGCAAAATGTTCTTTGCTCTCAGAAGAGGCAAGAAGCCAGGCGAACTCTGCAGTCCAAGTATTTCTGCCTCCTGTTACTAATTTGTCCATCACCCACCACAGTGTCCTGACACCACAGCTGAGAGATCAACATTTCCTGTAACACGGGGGGGACAAGACGAAACATGCAAAGACAGGAGGCAGAATGATTCAAGTGTGAACGGGATCATGCCAGTAGCATGGAAATTCAGCTATCTGAACCCCAGGAATAGTTACATGAACTCTGCTTTTGACCTACTCAACATCTTCCCATCTTTTCCAAGCCTAAAATTATGTTCTTCTAATATGGAAATAAAGAAAAAAGTGGGGTTTATCCCACCAAGAAAAGTCAGAGTCAAATGCTAGTTTGACTGGTGTGGAGGTGGTAGGGGAAGAATCCACCTCAACCATTATATTTCCCACAGTGATTTCCTGGGGTCTTCAAATGAAGATGGCACCCCAAAGCACACAAGAAACATATCATGCGCAAAAAGCTTACTTGCTCTAAGCTGCACTCCCTCACCGATACGGAGCAGCCTCCTGCCCTTAATTATTTTCAATGCAATGCAAAGAGGCAGCTTGTAGAGCAGGAAATAATCACACACACCCCAGCTCTGCTATCCCCTATTTAGTTCTGATCATTTGAATGGCCTAGGAAGCAAGGACAGAGCTGGGTCACTACTATCCCATAGGTTAACAGTGACATCCCCTGCAAAAGGGCTCCTTCCAGCTGTTAACCATCATCCCTCAGCAGCAGCAGCAGCAGGTGCTCCCAAAAACCAATAATGTAATTGAAGACTCTCATTAAATCATCCTACTCCTTGTTTATGACTTCCATTGTGTCCTGGTTTCAGCTGGGATAGAGTTAATTTTCTTCTTGGTAGCCAGTATGGGGCTGTGTTTTGGATTTAGGATGAGAACAGTGTTGATGATACACTGATGTTTTGGTTCTTGCTAAGTAGTTCTTGCTAGGCTGTTACTAAATAGTTGCGGAGTAGTGCTCACGCTGGTCAAGGACTTTTCAGCTTCCCCTGCTCTGCCGGGTGCATGGGGAGGCTGGGAGGGGGCACAGCCAGGGGGGCTGACCCAGACTGGCCCAAGGGCTATTCCATACCGTATGACGTCATGCTCAGTATACAAGCTGGGGGAAGAAGGAGGAAAGGGGGGACATTCGGCGTGATGGCGTTTGTCTTCCCAAGTAACCGTTAGGCATGATGGAGCCCTGCTTTCCTGGGGATGGCCAAACACCCGCCTGCCCATGGGAAGTGGTGAACGAATTCCTTGTTTTGCTCTGTTTGCGTGCACAGCTTTTTCTTTACCTATTTAACTGTTCTATTTTATTTTACTTCAATTATTAAACTGTTCTTATCTCAACCCACGAGTTTTCTCCCTTTTACCCTTCTGATTCTCTCCCCCACCCCACCAAGGGGGGAGTGGGCAAGCAGCTGCGTGGTGCTTAGTTGCTAGCTGGGGTTAAACCACGACACATTGAAAGGGCAAGACAAGAGAAAATGCACGAGAGAGAACACACGCTGTGCAGGCACAGGGAACTTCCAACTCACCTACCACTGAGCTCTGAAACACTTAGTTTACTTCAAGCTTATCTTGCCTTCTCTAAAAAAAAAAAATACATTAAATTGGGTTGGATCTTAGGAAAGCAAAAATCAATTCTCATCTCAGTTGGAAACTGCCTCCTATGCCCTCATGAGACTCCCTTTATCAGCCTCACTCTTCAGCTTGCAGATATTTTTAAAAGTTGTACACGTTACCTCTTGCATCACTCCTGAGAATAATACCCAAAAAGGACTGTCAGCAAGGACACTAAGTAGCTAGGAGAGGCACGCAAGTACTACCTTCCCCTGCTCCCAATCCAAGAGGAAAACAGTCAACCATAAGCCAAAGCTCACCAACAACTTCAGAGTAAAATAAAAAATGGGTAAGAGTCAACAGTACACCACAGCTCTTCCCACCAGCTAATGTTTCCTGGTTTAAGCACTTAAAATGCTTCATAAAGATGCAATTTGAAAAGAACATTTCTCATCAGATAAGAGCTACAGGAAAAGCCACACTAGAATTAGCTGATGGGGTTTCACAATTGCACTGGCCCTCTCAAGGCCATGTGCAGGTCAGAAAAAACACTTTAAATTAGGAGCAAATAGCAAGCAGGAGCTGCTCCTCACTGCAAGTGGAGTCCCTCTTTCCATGCAGTTCTAGAGACTGTTTAAAAGCTTGTTTCAGTCTGGATCAAGACCTGACCATTAAGAAGTGCTCCTTACAGGTAGTCCTTCCCACATGAGGCTGCCCACACTATTTCAGATTCACCCCACCCTCCTTCAGATTCACCCCACCCTCAGAAACCACCTTCAAGCGTTACACAGCCTACCAAAATATTACCAAGGGATTTCTTAAACTGGAAAAAACCCCTACCTATAGGCCACATCCGTTGTTTTTAGCCAGTGTACTGACAGTACTATTTCTCCTTGCTATTGCGAGGAAAAATTCAGAGGGAAAGATAAGCAATGAATGCTCATGAAGATTGCACAGATCAGAGAATCCTAACGCCATTTTTGCAACTCAAGGTCCCCCCAAAAGCAAGAGCTCTGTCTTGCCAGCACTTTCAGTCATACAAAACAGACAACTGGAGGAGAAGGGCAAGACCAAAAAACAGATGACACAGAGATATGACTGGGGGTGCTGTTTATGAACAATCTCCTTCTTTTGCACTCTCCCTTGGTGGTTTTTTGTTTTGTTTTTTAACCTGAGGTTAGGAGAAGACAGGTAGTTAGTTATATTTCCCCTTGAAGCATGAGTCAGCCTTTCCTCATGCAACAGCCTTGGGCGCCAAGAGCTGGAGTGTACAGCAACAGCACTGGAACTCAAAGTTCACAGAAAATTTGGTCATCTGCCACTTTGCATCCACTAGCTGTCAGCAAGCAGCCACAGATAAATTCGGAAGATGACAGCTAAAAGTGCTGTGACACTTTCCATAAATTCAAGGCTAGATTAGAACGGAGACCTGTATGCTACTAGAGCTTAAAAACAAGGAAGTCAAGTGAGTTGAGCTTAAAAACAAAGAAGTCAAGTGAGTTGAGCTTAAAAACAAAGAAGTCAAGTGAGTTTTAAAGTGATGCCTTGTTACTCCAAAAGCAGATCATTCCTTTAAGGAATACTAAGCATGCTGAGAAGCCAGAGCGCCTGCAATGAACTACAAGGTTAAGAGATCTGACCAGCATTAAAACCTTATGTTATCACAAAGCTCACTTGCTGTTTATTCCTGCACTGCATAAAAATCAGTCCCTGCCCGCAACTCCTCCTACTGTGCACATTACTCTGACAAAGAGACACACAGAAGAAGAATCACTGGGTTTTTTTATACAATAGTTGATGTGAATTACATTCAACAAGCTATTTTTCTTTCTTCTGGGATCCGTAACACAAGGATGCCTACTTTGCACATGTGCTTCTCTATCAAATTTTGTGGAGGAGAATCACAAGAGCCACAAGGGCCTAACGTGCTACTTGGGGGAGACTGTCCACAACCTAGATAGGCTACTATCATCTCAAAACACTACAGTCACAAAAAAACACCAACAGAGAGACCACTCATCTAATGACGTGCTAAGTAAGACTAGCTGTGATCATCTTTTCCACCTGCAATACTGTGATAGTTCCCTTTTTCTCAGGAACATGTTACATCCTTTGATGGCTTTGGATATAAGATATTAGATAAGCACCATCTGTTAATATTACTGAAGATATTTAGCTGCTTTTTAACATAGCAAGTCCCATTCTGCAAATAAAATTCACATAGGTTTCAGCTAGCTTGACCTTACAAGCTCAGACCTTGCATCCTTCCTGGAAGAAAATGGTTTATAAGCAATGGCTAAGTAAATCAGACCTTGATTATTATCACCTCCCCACCCTCAAAAATCAATACCAAAAGGATATGTTTTATATTTAACCACTGTTCAGAGACGTAGAAACGATAAGTTTGGGAAAAATTGTTTAAAATAACAGCTGCTCCAGCTGTCTATGCTTGACAGTAACAGCAGACTGTAAGGACTAGAAGGAGAGTTTCCTCAATAAAGTGAAATCACATATGGAGGGAGCAGGGTATTTGTACAGACGGGAGAACAACCTGCACCTCACTCTCTCCCTCTCATTAAAACGGCCCAGCCCAGTATGTGTTACCATGAAGATGCGCAGTTCTACTATGCACTCCCAAATCATCTGCCCTACACTCTTAAGAGTGACTTTTTTTTTTTTTTCTCCCCATTTCAGAACAGGTATATGAAAACTAAGCTCCAGGAATGTATCAGCCTGCCATCTTAAGACAAATGAAAAGCCACATCAGCTCTGTAGTTCTTGTTTACAGGTAGCCTGCTGAATGCATCTGAAAGGTCTGTTTAGGTGGGGAGCTTTTTTCTTTGCCATACTGTAACAGTTAGATATGATAAAAGAGTAACAGAAGACAGAATTCAATTTGTAACTTCATTCTGACTAAAGGCCAAGATCCATAATTGTAATGAAAAAGCCCAAATCAAGCTCTGAGCTAACCAGCTGTTTGTGGGAAAGCACTTTACTATTAAGAAGCTTAACTAGAAAACAGAAGCAACTAATGCTTCCACCGGAGCACTGTCATAGCCAGCCACTAACCAGCACGTGCAAGTGCAGTGAAAAGTGTGGGGGCGCAAACTGACCTCCAAAGTTGGCGAGCCGTCCGATCCTTGTGACGGGAACCTTCCTCTCCCGGGCCCGCTCACTAAGCTGCAGCAGAAAGAGGAGGAAAGGAAAACAAGACAAAAAGAAATCCACAAGTGAACTGGGCATATGGTCAGATAACCTGCAAATTCAGACTGCAACTTTGAAAGCACTTGAACAACTCTGTGCTACAGAAAGCTCTTCTTGAACACTGAGCCTTATATATATTGAAATATTTTCGAATGAACACACTGCAGAACAGACACACCATGAACCAAAACACACACTAAGCAGAGGAGTGGACAAGAGGGTGGGAAAGACAGAACAGCTGACAACCATGTTTAGAAAGCCCATTTTTACTTTCACCTTAGCAGTCCTTATATTTTGAACTTGGAGCAGCAGCGCAATGCCAACCCAAACCCCCTTCCACGCGTGGAATTAAAACGCATGGAAGATTATCAGGTTCACAGCAGTGTATGTAATTCCCCCACGCACAACAGCTGGAGCAACAGAAGCAGCACACTGTTTCATCAAAGCAATATCCCGAGTGAGTGAACCCACAGTAGCATCTGATACTGGGTTTGGGGAAGGAGGCAGAAGGTCAGAGCAGATGGCAAGTGTCTCCAGTGTGAATTCTGCTGTGGGCTTTCTGTGCTGTCTCGCACAAGGGCACGAAGCACTAAAGCAATAATTGTGAGCTGTGCTACTCTCCAGTCTACTAATGCTCAGGGCAATGTCCCCTCCGCCTCTAGAAGGACTGCAAGACACAGCACAGGAAGCCACAGTCTTCACTGAGAGGAGCTTAGGTCCAATTCATTCTTCACAGTCATAGCAAAACAACTAGCTGAAGGGAACAGGGCCCTTCCAGGAGAAGACAGACTCTTTAGGTCAGTCTTCAAACCTTTGTAGCCTACAGCTGTCCCCACCTGCGCAACATTTCAAAACTGGGATGAAATACAGACCCTTCATTACTGTAACATGCATCAATAAATACATCGAGTCCTCATAGTCCAGTGAATGAAAGGAGAGCTCCTGTTAATATAAAACTGAAGTCTAACCCTATGTATGCTTTTTAAACACCCTCTCACATCAGAATATCTGATATAGAGGGAGCAAGTGTGAAAGGAGAGCCTGAAAAAGCTATTGACAGAATAAATATCACAGATCAGAGTTCATTTGCCTCCACAAAAGGGACTAGCAGGATAGGAAGAAATGAAACACAGGAGAAGGTGAGTAAGGACAATCCAGTATAGAAACCATAGTACTGAGAATCCTTAATTTAAAAAAAAAAAAACAACAAAAAACAACAACAACAAAAAAACCACAACAAACATACCATCTGTTTGTAGGGTTTCTGCTCTGAACCTGTTTTGGCCTGTCTGGCTTTATCAATATCTTCAGCTGTTAATCCACTAACAGAGGAATGGTCTTGGTGAAAAGCCCTATTTTGTCCAAAGGCAGCAGCAAAAGGATTTCCAGGGTCCCTAAAGCCTCCAAATAACCTTGCATCCATTTTGGGAGGGAAAGGCTTCTGACCCATGCCAGAATCTCCAGTCTCACCAGCACTTCTAAAAGGTCCATTCGTAGTATAAGAGTGAGCAGGGCCTTCGCTGCTGCGTTCGTGAGGCTTGCCAGGGGCAGTGGAGAAGTCCATTGGAGCATCTGATGGCTCTCGGGCTGAGAAGTCATAGTCTTTCCCAAAATCCTCACTGAGCTCAGTTAAGTTCTCCTGCTGTTTGCCTAGTTCCTGCAAACAATAATAGAAATACATTAAGAAAAGAACTTAAAACCTGCTCCCTACCCATCCGTGGTCCTCAGAGATGGGCACGCAGCTAGGCTGTCATGTCTCCACAGTAGGTAATTTGTAGAGACTCTGGCACTACGGGCATTCCCACTAAGAGACAGGAAAAAGGAAGAGACACCTGGGATCACTGGCAGGCTTTCAACTGGGAACAAATGGGACAAATTCGTTAACAGCTTCTCAAATACCCCGAACTGGAGACGCCTTGTTCTACGTACACTGCCAGGAAGGGTCACTAATTGTGGAGTTCACTAGAAGCAGCACACTGCTCAGAAACAACAGGTGATGGGAGCTGCAATATCACATAAGATATACTTAGGCAGGATAACAAAAAGCTAAACCTCATAATATTCAGGTCTTACCCCTACCATGCTCCCTCCTCCCACCCTGTCCCTAATCATGCAATGTCAGCACTTTCAAGCCCAATGCTACCCAAAGCAATACCAGATACCTACTTCTAGGCAAAGTATGCTCAGCCTTCCATGGCCATGATGTTACCAACTGCAAAACACATTTCATTATTCAACCACTAAACTATGGCAGGGCTTGTTGTCATCCCAAAATAAAGAAAGGTCTGTGCTTGAAGCAAGGATGGCAACATTAGACACAGCAACACTCAAGGCAAGCTTCTCCTGACAGTCTTTTCTGTTGTCCTGACCTGCAAGAGCTGTCCTACTAAGTCCAGATATTTCCTACCACTTTTCAATGTAGGAAAAGAAAAATAAAAACTAAAAAAAGTTAGCAGCAAAGCATTATCTGCTATTGTTACTTGGCATATTCTAGTTACCTATCTCAGCAGCGGCAATACCATGGAAGCACTGATGGCCGTTAACAGCCAATCAACAGGATTTTAAATCCTGCTGTGGTCAGGCAAGCAGGCAGCATATTTTAGGCTCCTTCCTAAACACTAATTACATTTTCCTTCCTTACAGAAAAAAAACAGAACATGGTCTTTCCTGTTATTCAGCAGGTCTCGTGCTATTCTGAACCTCAACATCACAGCACAGGGGGGAAAGGAGAAATCTGTTTACAGATGAGGACTGTGGCCACAATACTGACTGATGATTTCAAGCAAGAAGGCCTCTCTACTTCCATACTTAAATTTTTAAAAGCACGTCAGACAGCCAAAACCCTGCCACAGATCAAGAGAAGTGAAATATAGTCACTTAACGGAAAAGCTTTCCTCTCTTCGAAACAGAAAATGTAGCTTCACACTACAGATTTCTTGCTGAGCCCTGCTTTGGCAGCAGCTTCTCATGCAATTCATCTACAGAACGCAGGGCAAGTGTTCTGCAGGTGTGCTTGTGGGGCCTCTCTTGTGCAGAGAAACATGTACAGAAACAGGAGAACATCATCTATCTCTCTCTCCTTGGATGCAAAAGGAGGACAAAGGCAAGACAAAGCACTGTCCCCATAAACAAACACACTTAGGGTATTTCTATTGCAAGCTTAAATAGAACCAAGGAAACACAGGCCCAGATTCTAGGACTGAAGCTACAGACTGCCATGATAGTCTAAGATCATTGCATTAAAAAAAGAAAACATCAAAACCTCACTCATTAGTTTCTGCTTCAAAAACAATGATCTGAGCTACACTGTCTTTCTAAAGGATGATAAAGGATGATCGTTTTTGATTAAGAGAAGTTCTTTTCCTCAGACAAGCCCCATGTTTTCAAGAGATGGCAACACAGCAAATGTGAAACTCTTATAAATCCATCCCCATGTCTGGTGACAGAAGCTGCTGCGTAAAAAAAAAAAAAAAAAGTCTGTCTTTCCTTATGTTCCTCATTTGAAAATCAGTTCTGAAAATCCAGCCTGGGCTGTAAGTGATGAACACGCAAACACCTGACCCTGAGCCATTCTGAAAAATACCACGTGCACCAGTTCTGTCAAGAAAGGAAAGCAGCACTGAAATAAATCCAATTCACTCTAGAAGAGCTGTTCGCTTAGTCAAAGGAGAGGTAATCAATGACTGAAGTTTAGAGGACACTTAAAATAACAAAGCTGCTGGCCAATCTTAGCAAGAGCTTGATCTTTGACAAGATGAGGTGAACAGAGTACTTTTCATTTTCAGCATGTCTTAAACAGTCAGTAATGGAAACAAACACTCTGCAGTAGCAGTCCCCCCCCCCGTTCCTGTCCAAGCACCTACTGCACACCACAGGAATCCTGGAGAATTCCCAGAGCATTGCAACATCTGTATTATTGATCCAGCACTTCAGAGCTAGGTTCTAGTTCACGATACAAGTTCCTAGCCACCCCCACAACGAACCCCAAAAGTACCTGGAGGAAAAGCAAAACATGAGACTAGACTGTGCACAAAGAGCTTTGCTTACCTGCACTTTCCCCAGGGCAGAACTGAACTGTTCTTCAGCAGCAGCTTGGAGAGTCCTTGCCATGGTAACTGCATCGCCCCCAAGGAGCACCTGCCGAAGCTGTCCTGCCTGGGTCTCTAGGACTGCTTTACTAAGCTTTGTCAAGCCCTTCACGACCATGATGGCATCGCCCGCCATGACTGATGTCTTTCTGTGCTGAAAGATGAAAAAGAAAGGGGAGGGGGCAAGATGTCAGGGAACGAGTTTGCAAGCAGTTTCAAGTCACCCAAGACCCAGTGGCATATCCCAGACAATCTCTTTCCGCTTTGGCAACCAGCCACCATGGGAACTTGTTTGCAGCTCAGATAACAGACAGGCCAGCTTGAATGACAGCTAGTTAGCTGACCTTACCGGGCAAAGCAAGAACTCTCCCTATGACTGTTCGTGAGTTAGGATAACGTTCCAGGACGCCACACAAATAATTCAAGTTACCATTGACCAGGGGAAGCAAAAACAGGTAAATGTCAGTAACAGTGCAAAGACGGTCTTGATTCCCTCCAGATGTTTAAAAAGGATTAAAGGCATTAGCATTTGACCTTTAATTGTTATCAGGCCCTGGAACATATCCTCAGTGCCTGATAGCACGGCTGAAGTGCGCTGACAACTGTCACATCCCATTCCTGCCCTGGAGCTATGCCTGCTCATGTTACATAGCCAAATTTCTTCACCCCCACACCAACGAGTAAGCTCTGTCTGTCCTCCAAGGGCAGTCTGCTCATCCTCCAACTTGTAGCTCACTCTGCTACTTCTAATTGGAAACTTAAGTACGCTCAGAACGCCTACCAACCACAGCATTTGCACAGTACCGCACTAGAGTGCTAAATTTTTGACTTGGTCCCCCTTTCTGTTCGAGAGGTGCTCCATCTCAGATTCATAACCGTCTGTGCAATTTCAGCGTCTTCAAATACAAACTGGGCACCGCAGGATGCAGGACAGAGTGTGGCTGAGAAGAATAAGTTCCACCAACTCCTTTGTCTGAGCCTAAGGACACCCATCGCTGCAGTTCACGTAAAAGAAAATCAAGAGTGGCTGAGACTTCAAAACCATTTTGCAAGGGAGATTTTTCACCTGCTTATTTCACTGATCTCCCACATCTTTAAAGCACGGTCAGGGTCACAATTCCAGGGCTGGTTCAGTCGCACGTCCTCCCACCTTTACTAAACAGAGAAGATAGAGGCATGCAGTTTGCACAAGATGCTGACTAAGGTTCAACCTTACCCATACAGCACTCTCTGTAATCATTTGGGGGGGGGGGAAAAGTTCTGGCTGTGATAGGTACCAAGCACTAGTCTAAGGCCATGTATTTAAGTTATTTTCTAGGTAGGTACACAGGTACCGATTCATTTTTAGAAGATAACATGTCAACATCCACATACGCACGACAACTACAAACATTAATACACTGAAGTGGTACAAGTGATCCTGAGTCAACAGTAGTAGCCACAGCATTACGCCCTGCTGCAGATCACAAGCAACTGGATCCAGTTACCTTCTCGGGAAGCACAAAGCCTGTCTCACAAACATGTCTGCTACATCAGTCAGGCAGGAGAAGCACAGACCACTATAGCTAAATTTCTGGATAAGTACACAATTTTGCTGCAGTCACATAGGAGATGCGTGGATTACTACAGCTGAATTTCAGAAACACATTATTATGCAAATGCAGGGTAAACCCTGGTTACTGGAATATTTGTTCAACAACTGTTAATCAGTGATCAAAATCAGGAACAACAGCTGTAGCCAGGAAGCAAGTATTATACTTCACATGCTTTAAGTACGCCTGTTAGGACCGTCAAGCGTTCGCAACGAATCTAAGCTCAATAGGTTAGCTGTAAAAATAAAAATCAGGTCATAATTCTGTGGTTATCTTTACAAGACCTGTCCATATGCTCCAGACCTGTAAGAAGTGTTACTCCTGAATCTCGCCAGAGTTTAATCACTAGGGTTGGTTTTAACGTTGTATAATGCACTTTTAAACTTGAAAGCTGCCTGTCAGGTAAGGAAACGTACTCTGTCAACAGGAGGTGGTTTTCTTCCCCCCTACATCTTGAGACTGGAAATTTCCACATGGATCTCACTCAAAGCATTTGCAGGCAGTCGCTGCAATTCAGAGGCAGGCAAAGAAACCAGCCAACAACACAGTACTGTCCTAGCTGAAATGAGACCGTTCAAAGGTTGCCACTACTAAGAAATAAGCACTTTTGCAGTTGCAAGTATTAGAAGCACAGGAAAGCTTGAATGTGAAAAGTTCACTCCCTCCCTCCCAAGAAGGGCAACAAAAGGTAATGCGATATAGATCAGTGTACACTCGGACAACACACACAAAACCATCCACTTTTAACGTGGATTCTTTCTAACCAATGATACTAAAACCATATCCTCCTTGCACCCAAAAACAGCCGAAGGACTTATCTTGAAGTGACAGTTATGATAGGCTAAAAGTGCATTTCTTTTAAAAAAATAAAATCTTCCAACAAAATTTCAGGGAAGCTAACACAACCACAAATGGAAAACATACATTGCACAGTGAGTGCTCAACCCTCCATTGCTAAACATATCAACAAGCAAAGAGGACCAATTGCCCTTTACAGGTTTGGCTATAAAAGCCAGCACTGGGCACGCTGCCACCAATATCCTACTGACTTCCATGCTATCACCCCCACTCTCCTCCGCACAGCAGCTATAACCATTAGGTCCCATGCAAGTGGTCTGTTAGTGCAGAAGCATCAGCAACATGCTCCTACGCGGCGCTGCCAAAGGACAGGCTATTGTAACAGCCCCTTTATCCTAGCACCTTGCTGAAACGGAGGCCTCTGTGTAGGAAACGCAAGCCCACATGCAACGGACTTGCTGTTTTTAGTGATCTTTCAGATTCTCTGTAGGTAGCTCACAGACCCAAATGGAAACCACAGTACACTCACAAATGCAAGGCATGGCTCAATAAGGACTTCAGAGGTCAAACGCAAGGAGAGTCACCAACAAATAAAGGCTGAGAAGGAGGAATGTTTTCAGAAGCGAGACCATACTCCCACTTTTTAACAGAACTGTGTCTGTAAGCCATCTCCTTCCAGTTCCTCATCTTTTGTACACCAAGCCCTCACCTTTAACAAAGCACAGTCAGGAAAAAGCAGAGGAAACAAAAATAACTATACTGCAATGATTAATCCTTTGGCAATAGGCATCAGGAGCAAGAAAACGTTCAGGTAATGTCTGTACCCATCATCAAGCAATACGAAGGTGGGAGCTAACAAGTGCTACGAGAACTGAACTGATACTGGAGGCGTTTTCCTCAAGCGGAAAAAATGCCACATTATCTAATTTTGTAGACCCTACATTTAGCAGGACATGTTGGTTAATTATCCTGGGAAGGACACAGAAAGCAGAGACTAACGAGGTTATCACAACCAGAAGGGGAAAGCATGAAAGAAAATGCATGCTAGATAATCAAGAAGGAAAAAGACAACACACAAAAAAATAACCAAGAATTAGGAAAATTAGGTTTTTTCTTCAATGAAAAAGCAATAAAGCACAAGCAAGGACAAGAGACACAAAAACTGACAGAGGAAGCACGCACTTCCAAGACGACTGGTATGTATCCCCAGTGATACCCTTGTGTTAATACCCAGTGCAGACAGCAAGCAGGCAAGGGATTTCCCCCCCGCCCCACGGCAAGTTCTATTCATACAGTTACTAAACCAATAAACAAGCAGTGTAAGCAAGCTCTATCAAAAACAGATTTAAGGAGTGGTTTCAAACAGAATTGGTCCGAGTGTACGAAGTCCATCTCACACTTGACTTGCCTCCTGAGGACTTATCTAGCGCTAGCAAAGTAGGGCACTGCCGGCACGGAGTATGGACGAGTCGGTCATGTCTACACAAGCTGTCAGAGTGCCTGCTAACCTGGATTAAAGAGGGTTGACAAGTGTCAATCATGAGCTACTTTCCAAAAATAGGCAGGGTCAGAGTTTTTGCTTAGTAAACTTCCCACAGTTGAACGAACCTCTGGAAAACACCCACACCTAGCACGAGCAGGCTAGAGCCAAGTCACCCTCAGACACCAGACAAGGTCCACACAGCAGGCAGAGGGGCTTGTATAGGTTAGATGCCACACTGGTGGGTAAACCATCTCCTGACATCGCACCAGATATCGAACCCTCCTGTAAGGACAAAACTAAATCAATGCCTGGGATGCTCCTGTGTGCAATGACCACCTGCCTCTCAAGCCACTGTCCTCTAGTGACTAACGGCAGCGCATTTCCTCCCTTCTTCAACACGCCAGGCTACTGGACTGAAGGTTTACGCAAGTATTGCGAGACACTCAGCATATCAGAGGCCAGTAACAGAAACCCAAAGCCTCACAACAGGCAACAGATGAATTCTTATATTTGTACTGTTTTCAAAACACATCCCTCCGTTCATTCCCCTTCTTTCCCACGGGCTAGCTGTGCTTTATACAGAAATATTTCTGAAAGTTTTCTGTGCATGACAGCACAGCCTCTTTCAATGTAAGGGAATTACTTCTATTATCAACAGTTTGCTATCCACCCAAGAAAGAAGCTCATCTACTGTTGAATAATTTAAAAACAAACAAACAAACAAACAAACAAACAAGAAGCCAACAACCCACAAACCACCAACCAAAAAACCCCACCAAAACCCCAGCAGTTTTACAGTAGCCCATATTCCCCCTCTCAGGTCTGCAGAAGTTTTAGCTGCCTTCTTTACCTCCAACTGTTCTTTTAAATGAGACAAAAATGAAAAACATTAGGCTGGATAGGTAGTAAGGCAAATAATTAAATACCACACTTCCAAAGGAAACAAACAGTCTCTATGCCTTCCCCCCCCACACTTCCTATTATCCATTACCACAATCACTGTTATCTTCGTTTCATCTAAACAAGGACTATAACCCCGGAATCAGTGTTACAGCCACCCACACCATCAAAGTGAGCACAGCAACAGTATGAAATAAAAATAATAAACACCACAAACAAGATACAGATGACCAGGTACTCAGCACATTTGTTCTGTGGCCATAAACCAGCAGTGGACTAACTTCAAAATCAGTATTATTCATTAAGCTGTTCTCTAACTGATCTTTTACAGATTTTTCCATTTCTTTTTACTTGTGTTGCCATACCAACCCTTTC